GGTGAACCAGTTGTTGCCATTCCCCTCAATGCTTTACGTTAAAGCAGGGAATAACAACTACCATTTTTGAGGACTTCAGTGTCAAGTTTTTGAGTTGGTTGACCTCTTAGTTCTGTATAAGCAAATTTCACTTTACCAATAATGACCATGAAAGACTTGGAAAAACTGATAAAATTCCTATCTGCACGCTAATAATATTTTCAGCAAATTAAAGATAAACTTGACCTTTGGTGACACATACGTATCTTTTTCTGTTTTAATGTCTCACTAATGTCCCTTTTATTCAGAGATAGAATCAGACTTGCTACTTTACTTGTCATTCTAGACATGTAAATGCATTGAGGGGACTAGGCCGGGGGATTGTTGCTGATCCCAATTTTGCCCTGTTGCCTTTTTCCTCTCCTGTTTTAGTGGTGCATGTGACCAACCCTTGATTCAAGTAATGTGTATGCACTAGTATACTGGAAAGGGAATACCATAGCCCTAGCTGTAAATACAAAATCTAGTTGTCATCAGAACAAAGAATTACCAAAGGAGGAAAGTATGTGACGGTACAAGACAGGGTGACTACTGGAGGCCAGTTAACAAACTCAGTTCGGTTAAAGCGTTCATTGAGAGTTCAGAGGTATTGGTCAGGTACTGGATCACCAGCAAATCTGGCTATAAAGTCAAATATGACCATACATGTACAGAACGAATGTAAACAAATAAGTCAATTGTGGTCGCAATTTCCTCAAGCACATTGAAAATTAGGTGGACAAACAGGTGAGTCAGTAAAACGAAAGATTTTTATCTAAAAACTAAAATTCCGGTGACTGTTGATTATCATCGTTGCAGTTTTTGGTAATAGTATATTTTATCCTCTGTATCTGATGGTTAGAATAACGAATATTAAAGATTTCTGTACCAAAACACCAAAAAATTAATTCCCTCTCGGCACATGAACAACTTTCACTGCATCTTATCATTCCTACTCGAAAGTATCTACCGAAATCACACCTGAGGCACGAATCTGCATCGTCAGGATGCTTATTTTCGTGAAGACATTGGTTACATTCGTGTATCCTGGTTGAAACAGTACAGGTGGCGCAGAAATATTCCACAATAAACAAACGCAAAGTAGCAATAGTCAGCATTTTAATTTTGGTCAGGTATGTCTGGACCCCTCAATCTACATGTGCCCAATATTCCTGAGGTCAGCCTCGGTTCAGATTTGTGCCTGTCGTTTTCTTAACAGGTTCAAACATATTAACTGGATATGCGAATGTAGCCATTGACGCTATACTTTTATACTAATATGTGACACATGTCGACAGGAAAGAAATGCAACGATGGAAATTCAACAAATCAATTAAATTGTGTAATCATACAATAATCTTTTATTTCACCAACTCATCTGTTTGGTCAACAATTTTATCGACGTGCACGAGATAAATATTACCAGTAAGGTGTTGTTTGTTTACATTCGTCTTAGATACATATAGCAAAATTTGACTATATCAGTATATAGCCAGAGTCAGATTTGCCGGTGCTTCAGGATACATGTTGGTTTTTAATCCGGCCTTGCCACGTTCCTATTCAAAAGTACATTAAACACAATATAAACATCGTTTTCTTTTAATCTCACTAAGATGTATATTTTTATGATTCCGTTGAGACGGTTACACTTACGAGCTTGATCTGTGGGATTCATGTATTTCCCACTTTTCGTGGTGTTGATCGATCTCCGACCCATGATGACTGTTTTTGTTCCGCTTCAGCCTAAGAATAAATATCAATTATTTGAAGGATCTGATTCGAATTAATCAGCTAGAACGAAAATATTGCTTTCAAATCAGCTTTTAACTGTTGTTTTTCCATGTGATCATCAGGTTAGGCCTCCCTTGAATGTGTAAACTTGAACATGAAAATGCCTCGGCCATGTTTTGCTGTATTGTCACGTGACATCATAAATCGGCACTTTTGCAACACCTTCTTTACGAATATAATAATTGTAAAATCAAATTCTAGTGATCAATTCATTGCAACACTAGCATGTAAAAAGACACCTGATTGTGAGTGTTTTAATTACTCTTTAAAACATTTTTATATTTCACGACAACAATCCTCCAACAGGAAGTCGATTTTGACAGGTGCCAGTGCTGTGGTCAGTTTGGGCAGTTAATTGACAGACTATTCTGTCTCTCATTATGGCGGAAACGACTCTTTTGAAGTCAGAAATTGACAGCAAATTAGAGAAGGTATGACTTGTCGTTGCAATGTTAACGCAAACATGGAAAAGAAAGGCTAGTAGTATGGTGGTAAATAATGTTCGGTTCTGTATGCAGAAGGGCGATAGCTCTTAAGAGGTTTCATTAGTTATGTTTATTGCTTTACATTTTCCTTAGTGAAGTTCTGTTCTAGATCATCATAATTGTGCTTTGTTCAAAGTAATACAGTACAATAAAACACAATGTAGTCAGCCGTATTTACTTTCCCCGAGTTGGATCTGGGGGTGAGAAAGGAGGCGGAATGGGGGAGGGGTGCTTGTGATCATACATAGACATCAATGATTAAACAATATTTTTTTGTTTACAGGAAAGGCACAATCTTCAGACTCTAAATGAAGCTATGAACAAAAGCAACAGTAACACACAGAATATGTTGACCATCTTGGAGAGTTTCCAGAACAGACTGAAAAAGCTGGAAAGCACTGTAGAACCAGTATACAATGAAACAGAAATGTTAAGAAGGAGACAAGAAAGTATCCTTCGCTTATGAATTATTCATATCTCAGTTTCCAAAGTTCCTAAAAGAGCTTGGTGTAATACCAGATGAAGAAAATCCCACAACTTGTACAACTGCTTATTAAACTGTAGCTGCGATAACGTAGATTTCTGACGACGAGAGATTTTTTTTTATATATTGCGTCGT